GGGGTCGGGGATTATCGACGGTGATCAGTGGTAATCGATGACGGTCAGTGGTGGTCGATTGAGGTCAGCGGTGGCTGACGACAGTCGATGACGGTCAGCGGGGTGCGGCCAGCAGAGGTTAGCGGTGATCGACGGTGATTAACGGTGGCCGGCGGTGGTTGACAAAGGTCGGCGGTGATGGTCGACGGTGATTGACAATGGCAGGGATGATTTTGGACTTGAGCTCCTTCTCAAAGCCCAAGTTCTCTCTTAAGCCTCCTCCTTTCATGTGAAGGGTGAGACTGTATTTATAATGTTTTGAGTGCAATTAATGCAGGAAATGAACTATTTTGATCGAACGGTCCGGAGAGCTTCCCTTGATCAAATGACATTTGATGGACATTTGAGTGCCTTAACGATGTTGGAATTGACCAATCTTAGTGGAATTAGATTCGTCTTGTCGAGATGCTCGATTCGATTATGTACTCGCTAGATTCGACATCCATTTGACCTTTCAAATGCCTCCGGAAATCCTTCAAGTGTGGTTTAATGATTTGATCTGGGCTTGAGACTCGGATTGGACTGACTTATATATCATTAGGCCCGTCTCATCAAGCCGATCAGTTTGACTATAAGTTTGCTGAAATCGGAGCTCTGGATGACTCTTAATTGAAATTTGAATGTTTCTTGTTTAAAAATTGCACAAAGATTCATACTGGCTGATGAAAATTTGTTGGTGACGTATCAATTATTTATATTCATTAATTTACAATAAATAATTACATTTATATCCTGCTTTTTTAAACTAATGTTTTAATGGGAAATTTAGAGGCATACCACATAATTCTTACGTATTTACGTCTATGTCATAAAGTTTTGCATAAAAAGGTATATTGTATCTTTTAAAAGGTTTTTTTTTTTTGAATTATAATTTAGCTAATTATAAAGAAATTAAAATTAAAATCAAGTACAATAAATTCAAAATCAATAGAAATTGAAATAAATAATATCAAAATTCATAAATAAATTTGGCTCACAATATATATTAAAACAAATAAATAAGCAGGATTGCTAGATCTTCGATGTACAATACCACGCTTCAGTTTTTCTTCCCCCTGATCCTCCTCCATGCTCAGTTCTTCGTCTATTTTTATGGAGGGTACGATTCTATTTATAATGAGTATGCAATATTTATTGTGTTTTACTTGATATTTCTATAAAAAAATTAAAAAAAATAAGTAATATATATTTTTTAAAAAATAAAAAAAATATTTTTAGTCAAAATCCGGCTCCCATCAATAACTATCAAATTGTTCATAATTGTCCCTATAATGTTGGAGCAAGAGACATAAATGTCGATTTCCTTGGCCTGTAAACATGTATTTGGTTTGATACATAATTTAAAGAATGTAAAATGTTTAAATCAGAATTATTTTTTTATAAAAATATAATTTTTTTCTTAGGGAAAACTAAATTAATATGTATTTATTTAAATGAGAGAATATTAATTACACATGCCATATAATTAATATGTATTTATATATTGTACATCAAAAGTATATCAGATTAAATCCTGCTGCCTGGATGACCCACAGTATCGACGACCAACCCAACTTAAATAACTAACCTAAATGAGCAACCAACCCAACTTAAATGATTGACCCATCCTGGTCGAGTGCTAACCTGTATTACAGACCCAACCAAGATAACCCATATTGGACCACCAATCTACAGGAACTACCGACCCAAAGGGAAGAATGATTCAACTTGGATGACCCAATTGTCTGAATGACCCACAGTCTGAAGGCTCTACAGCTTGGACGAGCTAATACGACCGACTGTCATAAGCCCACATATGTAAAATACTAAAAATAACATTTACAACCCTTATTAAAGCAGGGATAGAAATGTAATATCTTTATATTGTATTGCATCCCTTATAAGTAGGGGATCATTTCATGTATTCATAGAGATTCAATTATATAAAAAAAGACTACAAGAGTCCAGAAATACCCTAATTTGCCTGCAAGTCTCTATGCACTCCTCCTCCTCCTCTCTCTCTCTCTCTCCTGTCTTACGCTCTATTTATTGATCATTGTTTAGTTGTTTGTTCATACTTATAAGTTAATATAAAATAGTATTATATTTGAAATTCAAATCCTATTAATAATTTAGATTGTGACTTTCTAATATTTATCGCACTTCAATTGATATTTCTATAAATAACAAAAAAATAAGTAATATATATTTCTTAAAAAATAAAAAATTCTTCATAATTGTCCCTAAAATGCTGGAAGAATTGACAAAAATGTCGATTTCCATTGCCTGTAAATTATTGTCATTTATTTTGTTGGATACATAAGTTAAAGAATACAAAATGTTTAAATCAGAATAATTTTTTTTGTAAAAATATAAATTTTTTCTTACGTTTTATTCGCAGGAAAACCAAATATAGAAAAGAAAAGGATTTAATTAAAAGAGAGAATGATATTTACACATTCCACATAATTAATATGTATTTACTTATTATACATAAAAAATATGTAAGATTAAATCCTGCAGTCTGGACGGCTAACTCAGCCTGAAATACCGACTTAAAGGGACCACCTAACCAATATAACCCATACTGGATGACCAACCTAGAGGAACGATGGACACAAAGGGAAGATTGACCCAGCTTAGAAGATCAACTGTCTGGACAACCCGCAGCCTGGACGGTCTACAGCTTGGATGACCCAATACTCCTGACAGCCATGGGCTCACATATGTAACATATATTAATAACATGTATAACTCTCATTAAAGGAGGTATAAAAATGCAATATCTTCATATTGTACTGCATACCTTATAGGTAGGGGATCGCTTCATGTAGGGGGGACTTTTGTTCCTCTCTCTGCTCTCATGTATTTATAAATATTCAATTATATAAAAAAGGGTCACAAGAGTCCGGGAATGCCTCAATTTGCCTCAGAAAGGCAAGTCACTGTGCACTCCTCTCACTCTCTCTCCCTATTTCCCGTCTTACACTCTATTCCTTGATCGGGATTCAAAGACAATTTCATGTTCAACACACATATAAGACGATAATATTTACTCTCTCTGCCCTCATGCATAGGTATATGACAACAAAGTATTATAAATGTAACTACATAAGAATTTGTCTGGTATTTTTGTAAATTTTTCTATTTACAAATGAAAAAAAAAAAAAAAAACTAATATTACCAGGAACTAGCTGTTCTTTAAAAATATATAGAATTATTAATCAGGACAAACTCTCACTTTTAAATAAGAAATTAAAATAGAATTTCTTACATTGGCTTCAAGAATAAAGGGTAATATTTTTGGGAAGAATTACATTCATGCAACTCAATTCCTATGTATTTACATATCTATCTTCTAAATTTCAAACTTTCTATATATATCATCTTGCCTATGCATTAAAAGATGTCACATCTAGACTATATTTTTAATAAAATAAGTGGCATGAAGTGTCTTAATCTTGATCCAAAATAAATGTGGTTGAGTCATGATGTGGGTCAATATATTTGTAAGAGTAGTTTCATTCATTCCTCGTATTAGATTTATGGTTTGAGTTTTATTATAAATAGGTAGTCTTGTGTTGTATTAGGAAGCTTTTGAAATTACGTAGAAAGTTGTAAAAGCTTTGATCTTATAAGTTCCTATGATGGGAATGTGTCTGTTTCTATGGTGCAGGATGGCGGCAATTGCATCCCTTTGTTGTTGGTGGTAACATTTCGGGTCTCTTGTATTTTGTGTTTTTCACTTGATTAGTGTATCTCCTTTGTATCTTATTTGCTGACTACTAAGCTGACAAGTTGCCACTCCCGTAGCAAACAAGAGCCCCCCATTCTGTGTTTGCCCGATGTATTTTACATTGGATTCAATATTTTCAAATTAAATAATAAAATTTAAACTTTTGTATTTATTTTATTAAGAATCAAATAATTTTAAAATTATTTTAAATTCAAGACTTTTTAACATTCACACCTCTTTCATTTTTCAACAAATCAAACAACCCTTAAATCTTGACTTTTAAAATTATTATTTTTTGTTCTCTCAATGTTTAAATTAAATCGTTCTAAAATTTGTTACAATACAACCCTTAAAATCATACTATTTCTTAGGGTCTGTTTGGGGCAGCTTGTGCGTTTCAGGATAAACTGCTTATCCTGAAACGCAGCCCAAGGGCCGGCCGCGGGGTCTGCGTTTAATGTAAATACTCAAATGCAGTTTCGAATAAGCTCGTGAGAGGCATTTTGAGAACGCCGCCCTCACTTATAAGCTGCCCCCAAACGTTACACCCTCTTAAGAAATATCATAGCTCAAATCTAAATGCAAAACTAACGGTTAATCCTACGTCGGATAACGTAACTAGTTAGGGCATTCCTATAACCTTTTTAAAAGTTAAAATAATTATATTTTAGATGTGATATGAAAAAAGTTTGGGTGGTTAAGTATAAAAAATAAAATTTAATTGGTTCATATGTAAATACATAATTTTTGGTAGATATGCATGTAAATGCCCCCATAGTATATTGCCTTTTCCTTCTTCCACACGCTCTATCCCTCCACTTATCTGCAAAATCCATTCGCCATGGCAGCCGCTTCGGTTCCCTTACTCAGTATCCCGCTTTCGCGAGCTCGAAGCCTCACTGGAACCCAATACGCTCGTGCCTCACCGTTTCCATTACTTGCCGGCGGGGACTTGGGGAGCCGGACAATAGTCCTCTCCGATGTGAGCCGGAATTCCTGTCGGAAGAGATGGAAACTGAGAGCAATTAGGGCAGATATTCCACCAGAGAGTATAGAACCAATTGTTCCTCCCTATAATGTGCTCATCACCGGCTCAACTAAAGGCAGGTACCTCTTGCATTTAATTTTAGGTTTTTTTTTTTTTTTAATTCATCGCTGTATACTGAATTCTTGTATGTGATGCATCGATAACCTACTAATGATTGTTGTACGAACGATTAACAAAAGGGAGGAAACGATTTTTCATGATATAAACTCCTGGAATCCAGAGAAGCTGTACTAGTTAGAGCATGCAATTAAAATAATGTACTGAGTCTAGAAATCAAACCTCATCTTTTATTTCAAAATTTTGGGATGTTATGTGATTCATAGAATGATAAACTTGAAATGGGAAGATAAAGCACGGGCAGTATTCAAACAATAGCCCGAGTTTAAAAACCCAAGAAGAGATCCATGCTAGCACTTTTCACAGGACACAAAACCAAGATTGAATTGCATCCTTTAATAATGTAAACCCTAATATCAGCATATAAACTCCTTCCAAGTTCCTCATAATCCATTCACAATCAAAACCTTCTTGGTCCAGTCTGTCACAAGTCGTATTTTTTATTTTATTTCAGAAAGTAAGTAATTTATTTGTTTTCATTCTTGTTGTATAAAGGTATTGGATATGCTTTAGCGAAAGAGTTTTTGAGAGCTGGTGACAATGTCTTGATATGTTCAAGATCAGGTATGAACTTGGCATTTCCCTCCTATGTTCATGTATGTCTAGTAAGGTTATTTTTTAGGGGCATTTACATACATACCACACAATTGTTATGTATTTACAGTCTAACACCTAAACATTCATGTCTAACACCTAAACATTCATATTTACATGTATACCACTCAAATCTTTAACATCATATCAACCAATATCATTACCTTTTTAAAAGTGAAATACACATTTTCATGCATGGTTTATGACACCAGATCGATATAAGCGTAAATATCAAACTTTAGGTGTTAGATATGTAATTACATAAGAATTGTATGGAATGTATATAAATTTTTCTATTTTTTAGCATGTAGCATAGATCATCCAGGGGAGAGTCTTCATACAGTTTCTCCATGCATCTCTTAAGAAGGGATTTAATTGTGCCCTGTCTTTTAGGTAGTTTTGATTCTGTTCTTCGTGTAAGTCTTTCTTGTAATTATGGTAAGCAGTAAAACTCTCAGTTTTCCATTTTATGTAGCCGAGCGTGTAGAGTCAGCAGTTCAGAACTTGAAAGCAGAATATGGGGAGCAGCATGTGTGGGTATCTTCTGTAAATCTATTTTTACTTAATTTATATTCTGTGTATATTGTTGAATTGCTTGGGATAGTTGTATATGTGCTAACAAATCATAGTTGTGTTATTTGATTCAGGGAACGGTTTGTGATGTTAGAGTGGGAAAAGATGTCAAAGAGCTAGTAGCCTTTGCGTGTGAAAAGATGAAATATGTTGATATATGGGTTGATAAACTGATTTTTTCCTATCTTTCCTTTTAAATATTTGGGGCATTCAAATACATAGTACACAAGCCTAATGTATTTACATATCTCACACCTAATCTTTCATATTTACACTCATAATACTTAAACCTTTAATATCATAAAAATTATGGCATTGTTACCACTTTTTAGAAGTACACCTTTCCATGCATAGGTTTAAAGCGCCAAAGTGCTATGTATGCAAATATGAAAATTTAGGTTTGAGATATGTAAATAGATAAAACTTGTGTGGCAGGTACGTAAATTTTGCTAAATATTTTTTATGTTCATGAATTTATCTATCTTATTTGAAACACTATAGATAAATAACGCTGGATCAAATGCATACAGTTATAAGCCGCTGGCTGAAACTTCTGACGAAGATCTTATGTAAGCTTACATTTTCAGAAAAATGCCATCTTTCTTTGTTGGCTGCATGATGCTGTTATTTAATGGGAGATTTACATCCATACCATTGAATTCTTAAGTACTTACATATCTAACATCCAAACTTCAATTTTTACATACATGCCACCTCACCTATGTATGAAAAGTTATATTTCACTTATTAAACGTTAAAATAGTGGTATTTTTGACGGGATATGAAAATTTTGGGTGGAATAAATATAGAAAATAAAGTTTAGGTTTTACATATCTAAATGCATAGGAATTGGGTGGTATGCTTGTAAATGCCCCTTACTTAATCTAGTGTATGCAATTTTGTCTTTTTAAGGGAAGTCGTCACGACAAACACACTTGGTTTGATGATTTGCTGTCGTGAGGTAAATGTGAAGTAATAACATCTTGAAAAGTTCAAATTTTTATCTGTAATATCTGTTATGTGCTTCTTAGCTTCCTGATTTTTCCAGGCAATAAAAATAATGCTTAGCCAGCGTCGTGGTGGTCACATATTTAACATTGATGGAGCCGGGTCGGATGGAAGACCAACCCCAAGGTATGTGTTTCTTTCATTTAGGTAGTCACAATGGTACAGATCATTAGCCTAACCTTGAGCATACGGTGTTGAGTGCCTGTGATTGGCTGCTAATGCGATCATGCGTTTGGTTGCAACTATCAGGTTACCTGATTAATAACTTATTGTACGAGCACCTGGTAAAAGTTCACCAAAGTATAAGTGCTTTTACATACATATAACACAATTCTTATATATTTACATCTATAGCACCTAGACTCTTATATTTATATATATAACACTCAAATCTTTAGCATCACATACAAAATACCAGTCTTTCTAACTTTTTGAAAGTGAACTGCACCTTTCTATGGATAGGTTTATAGCATATAAGTGTTACAAATGGCAATTTCAAACTTTAGGTGTTAGATACATAAATACATAAGAAGTGTGTGTTATGTATGTTTATACATGGATGTCAATTACACCTAAAGTGTTTTGTATTTTGAAGCAATTACAGCCATGTCACAAATGTCAATATCAAACTTTAGGTGTTAGATACATAAATACATAAGAATAGTAGATTTTCCCTTTCTTTGTGGAATGCCATTTCTGTTTATTTTCAGCTGATATTTTCCCCATTTTATTCTGATAACTTATAAGCATATCTATATTAGTTTAACCTTCTTTTTGGTATTTATTAGCATGGCTTTATGTTCCTGCAAACATTTTTCTCGCCATGCATGCTTTCTTTCGCTTCCAATCGACACACCTTCATAGAATTCTGAATTCGTCGTCGTCTTTTAATGTAATTAAATTTCTTTTGCTGACACTAAGAGGAGCGCCACAGGTTTTATTTTAGTCTGTTTCTCTTTCTTCTCTAGACACATCTTTATTCGTTATAAAATAATATTTCTTCACCGGATTTGTATTGCTCTTGTAATTTTGGTTAGGGCATTTACATACATAACACACAATTCTTATGTTTTTACGTATTTAACACTTAAATATTCATATTTACATGCCTACCACTCAAATCCTTATCATCACATAAAAATACCACCATCTCTATCTTTTTAAAAGTGAAATACATTTTTTCATACATATATTTATGACACAATGGTATTATAAGTGTAAATATCAAACTTTGGGTGTTAGATACGTAAATACATAAGAATTGTGTGGTATGGGTGTAAATTTGACTTTTGTTTAATGTCCCTTGCCAGATCTTTTGGCAATGCTTTATTGTACCGTCTCGCTTAACCATAACCTCAAGCCCTTGTATCATTGAAGACTCCTGAAGAACTATGATTAAATTTTCAACAATAACACGCACACACAAGAGAGTTATTAACCTTTTTAATTTTGATTGAATTATTTCCTTCTGCCAGGTTTGCTGCATATGGAGCAACCAAACGTAGTGTGGTGCATCTGACCAAATCCTTACAAGTAGGCACATTTTATTGCAATTCGTTTATTGGTGCTTCAGCTCATAGTGACATCGGAAAAAAATAAATACTCAAACCCAATAGAGTCCGGAGTTCAGGGATATTAATCTATGTAAAGATCACAACGAATGCCGATATACTTTCAAAAAATATGCATTGAGTTTATTTGCATGTTTGATCTGTAAAGAGTGAACTTTATATCTTAAGGGCATACTTAGCCTTCGTTTGGAACAGCTTTTTAAAGCTGTGTTTTTTTAAAAACATTATAAATTATTTTTAATTTGTTTTGCTCTAATGCTCATCTAAAAGTGTTTCTGACTAGACTTCATTTTCTTCATTTTAGACGGTTATTTCTACCTGACTTTAAAAGCTGTTTTTTCTTAATTCAAGCAAAAGCTTAGTCAAACAAAGCCTTAATTCAATCACTGGAAGCATGCCTTGTTTAATGACGAACAAACAAGGATACTTTAGTTCCGAATAAGAACTTCTTTTGGAAGACATTTACATAATCAATTTATCTCTTCACAGTGCATAAAAACATTTTAAATATCCATGATTGTAATTTTCTATAATAAATTTGTAGTTTCTTAAAATAGGGGAGGGAAGCAGGTTGAATAAATTTAAGGCTTATATGTTTGAAGATGATAATTGAATGTTTTTCTTTTTCGTTGGATATGGTGATATATTGTTATCTAAGGTTGTGAAGTTTGCTCGAAGTTCAAAGATTGCTCGTAAATTCGATTAATTTTTTACTAGGATCAAAGTCAACCAGCTGTTTAACAAACCAAGTCTAGTCCGTATTTAATTTTATTCAAGATTGTATTTGACATGGGGTGAGGAGGGGACTCCAGATTGGTTTGGTACAAATAGTGGAGGGCCGGTCGACCCTCTTTCTAGGGTTAGAGTTGACGCCCACTCCTAATAGTAGTGTGGGCTTTTTTGTCTATTTGTTTTTATTAGTCTTTTGTTGATTATAAATATGTAGTCGTTTATTTTATTAGGGTTTTGTTCGTTTGAGTTTTGTGAGGGCCTATGCTACCTTTGTGGTTCTCAAATGGTGACGAGTCTATATCCATGGAGTTGGGTGGTGAGAAATGTATCGCTCTGTTGTTGGTGGTGGCATACCAGGTCTCATTTCTTTTATTAATTCTTTGAGTGGTGATTTCTCCTTCCCGATCGGTTGTGAGAGTAGAAGATTCTTATATCCTGTATCTTTTATTTGATAAACACATCTCGTCTTTGGTTTGGTTAATTTTTTCTATTTTAGATTGTTTTATTTTTTGTTTTTGTTGAATCTTCTCCATCCCCCATTTCTCTGGTATAATTTGATATCAGAGTTAGCCTAATTCTAGTTCCATCCTAGGGTTACCAAAATCCTCCCAAACCTAAACCTACCAAAGCATAGACAAATCTTGACTTAACCCTAATTTTTCCCTGCTGATTTTCAAAATTAGTAACCTAAATAAGTTTTCTGCATACTAAATAAGTCCCATATACCCTATTTCACCCACCAAACCTAAACCCACAAAACCATAGTCAAGTCTTGACCTAACCTTAATTTCTCTTGGTTGATTTGAAAATCAGCAATTCTGAATAGATTTTCTGCACCCTAAATCAATCACATACACCCTCTTTCACCTCCCAAACATAAATCCTAGCCATGCCACCAAGGAGACAAATGCAGGAAGTTTAAGGTCCTCCAATGTCGGGAGATTAAACCATCTTCGTCACCTTCAACGTGGCCGATCTGACGCCATATCATGAGAAGTCAAAAGCTTCGACATATGAGGCCGAAGGTCCACCAACCCTGGTAGATTGATGCGGGGAAGGGAGGGAGGGGACCCTTGACCGATTCGGTCTAAGTGGGAGAGAGCCGTTCAACACACAGTTTTATTAAGTTTAGGGCCTTTGTTGGTTATAAATATGTAGTCGTTTATTAAATTAGGAGACTTTTATTCATTTGAGATTTTTGAGGGCTGTGCTCCCTTTGTGGTTTTCCGATGAGGATGAGTTTGTATTCATGGCGTTGGGTGGTGGCAATTGTATCCCTCCGCTATTGGTGGTAACATTCAGGCCTCCTTCCTTCGTCAATCCTTCAGGTGGGGATTTCTGTATCTTGATCAATTGTGAGAGTATAAAGCTCTCATATCTTGTATCTTTTATTTAACTAGTGCATCTCGTCTTTCTTCTAGTTGTTTTTTTTCCCTGTCTCTGATTGCTTTCTTGGTTGTTCTTGTTGAGTCTTCTCCCGCCCCCCTTCTCTGGTATTGTTTGTTGAATCTTCTCCATCCACCAATGCTATCTCCAAATTGAATTAAAAAATATTGTTTTATGTATGTGTATGTGCATGCATATATGTATAGCGTAATTTAAATTTATACCACATAATTCTTTTGTATTTACATATCTAACACCCAAAGTTGATATTTACACTTATAACACCTTGGTTTCATAAACCTATAGATGAAAATGTGTAGTGATGGTGGTATTTTTGATGCAATGTTAAAGATTTGAGTTGTATGCATGTAAATGTGAATGTTTAAGTGTTAGATATGTAAATACATAAGAATTTTGTGGTATGTAGGTAAATGCTCCACACGCATACACACATACACACATATGTATATGTATATGTGTGTGTGTGTGTGTATATATATATATATTTGTATGTGTTAAGTGAAAATTTTGCCTAATGAGATCGAAAATGATTGATTTTTGTCACTTTTCAAACTCATGTCAAACCAACCTATTACTAGATTTGGCTTGGTTTGAGATTTTAAATCAAATGACCGACGTGGGGTTTCCCCCCTTTCTGCTATGGTTGCAGCCGACTGAACTAGCTGACATGGGGAATCGGTCCAGGAGACCTGGTCCAAACTTCCAAAGTATCGAGCGACTTTATACGACTCGAGTGGCCTTTCCTTTTGCATCTCACGCCCTGTCATGCCTCCCGCTCGATTAAGCGGCATATTGGGAAGGGTGGCATTGCTGCCAATCCATTTCCCCTCCTTCCATTTTAGTGATTTTCTTATGAGAGCTTTCCTTTTATGTTTTTCCACTGTGAGTGTCTTTAAATTACTGTTTTCTGGATTTAATGTTTGGTTTTTTTGTTGTCTTTGCTTTCAGACATCCTGTGTGGAGTCCTTTTCCCCTTTGTGGGCTATATCCGTGGAGATGGTGGTGCTCCGGCTATATCCTACTCCGAGATGGTGATTGTATCTCTATCTTTTATCTTCTCTACTTATTCTCCTCCACTTCCTCTAGCCGCCGGCCTCTCCCAACGGCTTCCCCCTGCATTGCCGACCCCTTTTCTGCTGCAGCAAGCTGTTGTTCAACCCCTTTCAGAGCCATTCCCGACATCCCGCCGGCACCTTTACAACAGCTACCTTGCTGTGCCAGCCTTTCCCATCGCTGCCAGCTTTTTACAGCTACTGTCTCACCTTCCCAGCTTGCCACCCCACCTTTCAACCAACCTCCACCGCCCTTGAGGTACACTTTCAAAGCGTTTGATTGTGTCGTCCTGCGTTTTGGTGATGTTATTTTCAATTTATGTGTGTTGTAAACCTATTTTTCTATTAATAAAAGTTGCTTATGCAGTTTGAGTTTTCTCCTTCGGTATCATTTAGTATTCAAGCTAGCTCCACCCTAATCTTATCTTAGGGTTTCCTAGCATCCGCCTCTTCACAGGCCAACCCCACCAAAGATTTTCTTGTTTATTTCTAACCGATAGCCATGCCCATAATGAGATACATGCTCGAGCCTACCCAAGAGGAGATACAGCGAGAGATCTGTCAACTTCAGCGAAGGCTTGTGGACATTGATGATGAAGCGGGAGATCCAATACCAGTCTCTACCACTTACTATAGCCAAATGGTGCAGATCCCATCGTCAACAGTGGAGGGACCACACCATCGAGTGAAACCCCCACATCTTATAGGAATAGGTTAGCCTTCAGATCTTATTGCCAGAGTGCACTCAAAGGAATGCCCAAGTCGACCCCGTCAGAGAACAAATTGATTCAGAGTAGAGAACGGGGGAGACCAAGCCGCATCCCTAAAACTGTCACAACTATAAAGTATTGTAAGTGCCATGGATTTGGGCATGTGAAATCAGAATGCAATACCAAAGGAGAAATCTGTTTTAATAAGCAAGGTGTTGTTGAAAAATGGGGCAATGACACCGTTGATATGATAGAAGTTGAAGACTTCTCCACTTGCAGCTTGCGAGGAAGAGACACCACCAATTCCAAAGGACTCCAAGATAGAGATTCCAGCTGAGGCAACAGTAGCTGTTCTGGAAGGTAGTGACCTCGATGTAATAAGCGTTCAAGCATAGTATGAAATTCTGGGTCCTCAAAATACCGTTTCGCGGGCATTGAGAGGAGCAACAACAGGGTTGAACTCGGTGATTCAAAGAATCACGAGCTTAAGGAGCCGATATCAGATATAGGGCCACCACAAAAATAAGAGAAATACAACTTTTCAGATGAATAGACCTCTTCATGAGTTATCTTTATGGGGGAGGTCCAACAGGTCCGAAGAGAAGTCATTTTGTACCATGGCGAGGATATCACGTGGAGTTATTCAGAGGTTATTTCCTGTTTCGCATGGTACCTCTCGTCAGATATTCAGACAGCAGAGATGAACCCCAGCTTTGTAGTGGGCTCAACGAATTTGATTGGGATGAAAATTCTTCAATGGGATCCAGGTCCTATCGGTGGCTAAGAGGTCTCTCCTGATTAGGTGCTAGATAAAGGGGTGCAATATGCCACAAATTTCATCCTAGAATTGATTTCTCCTCTCATACCAATTCCTCAACTTCACGCAGCCGATTACGAGGAGTGGAAGAAGCAGGTTACCCCTGAAATGACTCGATACCCGATTTGTGAGATTACTCTTCCTCCTACAGTTCTAGTTCAGGATGTGCCAAAAGATGATGGATATCTATTCTACTAGGTTGTGTTGTGGAATGACAATGTTGACATGATCGATCTACAAAGGGACTTAACACCAAGCCACGAGGAGCCATAAGCTTCGTACGATAAAGTTGAAGCACCCCTAACCCCGGGACACCGACGCGGGCTTTCCCCCTTCCCGCTTCGGATGCGGGTGCGGAATTTTCCGCACAGAGTCGGGAAACTGGCCAGCTGACTGAACCAGCTGGCATGGAGACCGGTGCAAGCTTCCTAAGTAACGAGCAACTTCATACAACCAATGCTGCTTTTCCTTTTGCATCTCCCACCCCGTCATGCCTCCCGCTCGATTGAGCGGCATATTGGGAAGGGCGGCATTGCCGCAAATCCCTTTCCCCTCCTTCCTTTTCAGTGATGTCCTTATGGGAGATTTCCTTTTCTGTTTTTTCCTTGTGGGAGTTGTTAAATTACTGCTTTCTTGATTTAGGTTCAATTTTTATTGTGTTTGCTTTCAGACATCCTATGTTGAGTCATTTTTCTCTTGGTTTCGAGGAAGTGGTGGTGTTTTGACTATATACTACTCCGACGTGGTGATTGTATCTCCACCTTTTATCTTCTCTACTTCTTCTTCTCCACTTTCCCTAGCCGCCGGCCTCCTCAAACAGCTCCCCACTGCACTGCCAACCCTCTTTCTGCTGCAGCAAGCTGCTGTCCAGCCCCTTTAAGTCCCCTTCCTGGCAGCCCGCCGGCACCTATACAGCAGCTACCTTGCTGCCCTGACCTTTCCCATCGCTTCCAGCCCTTTCCGGTTGCTGTACCACTTTCCTAGCTTGCTTACCCACCTTTCAAGACCTGTTGGGATATACTTTCGAGGTATTTGGTTGTGTCGTCCTATGTTTTGATGATGTTATTTTCAGTTTGTGTGTGTTATAACCCTATTTTTCTATTAATATAAGTTGCTTTCGTGGTTTGAGTTTTCTCCTCCAGTATCAATGACTTCAAGTCAATTTTGTGGGGAATGGATCAACTTGAGATATGACTGTTAACAGCCCTGCAATCAAGTTTTTTTTACCATGCTAAAAAATGTTCCTGCATTTTAATAGATTCTATAATTCTTATTTTTAGAAGCTTGAGACTTGGTTTTGATTACTGCATGTCGAAGCTTCAATGCTTCCTTTATTTTATCTTGTTTATTGAATGGAAATGATAAGTTATGTGTTTAATATCTCTTAGCTTCAAGCCAAGATTATAAAATTTTAACTTCAATTTTAGGCTGAACTGCAGATGCAAGATGTAAAGAACGTCATGGTACATAACCTATCGGTATGCAGTTTTTGTTCCTTGATTTTGTTGATTTCTATACAACTGATACTCTGCTAAGAGATATTAGACCACATGAATGCGAGTTTTATTGTTCCAGCCTGGTATGGTCACAACAGATCTTCTCATGTCTGGCGCCACGACAAAGCAAGTAGAGACCCTACCCTGTAACTATTTTTCATTGGAAAATTTACATACATAACACATAATTCTTATATATTTACATATCTCACATAAGAACTGTGCACTATTTATGTAAAAGCCCTTTTTTATTTTCTTCTTATGATTCTTCGTCAGCATCCTAATCTTTTTCTCAAAGTGCAGGCCAAATTCTTTATCAATATTTTGGCCGAACCACCTGAAGTGGTAAGAATTTCATTACTGAACTACAATAGATATTCTCATTTCCATTCCCTCTGATTTTTACAACTGTGATTCTTTTCAACTTCCCCTGATAAAGTGCGAATTTTGCATCCAAGGCCAATGATATTTCAAAATTTTCCGAGATATCATGTAAGTTTGTCATTTTGGGTTCTGACATTATTAGCTTTTGCAACAAATTGATCTAAAACACTTTGAGCTCCATTTGCAAGGTAATAAAATCTTCAGCTCTATGCTGAATCAGTCCTTCTTGCTTTTATTGTAAGCCTGGTATTTGGCTATATTGGTAGCCAAATTGCCTAAATTTACTATACATGCTTTTTGCTTCACTTGATATTATAGGAAGATTCCTTAAATTGGAATAACGATACAATGAATATAACTTTACTTATTTTTTAGTATAATCTATGTTTGTAAATATCATTTACTATATCAAAGAACTTTTTATATTATACAGAATGGTGATGGATAGGCTTAGGAATGACAAAAATAAGATTGTGAAGCTAAACCATAGTCCACTGTCCAAAACTGCTTCTGACTGAACAACCTCAAAATTATGAATTATATTTCATGAATAGGCAGTATAAATTTGGTTATGGGTGAGTACTGATTATAACATTAGTTTGTTCTCTATGCACTGCTTAGGAAGATGGTGTTACTCTTTCATTTTGAAATATAAAAGAATAAGTTCAATTAATTTCATGAATTATTTGAATATAGGGTCCATGTTTTAAAATCTGGTCAACATCTGCCTCTGTGATTTGAAAAAAATAAAATAAAATAAAACTTTTGTTGTTGAACTCTTGAATCTCTTAAAAGAATTTCAGCGCGTCGACTGAAAAAAATAATTCGGTCTCGATGAAATCCAGATTGGATATGAAAATTAGCCATCCAAGCCGTTTTTCTTTCTGTTATATGCATTTGCATCCCATTTGCATTACCAGTCTGTTTATATTTCTAATTATTTTAGCTTTGAGAATTCTAGAAGAACCAGAGACATCACATTTGTTGAAATACTTAGAAGAAGTTATAAAAAATTTTTAAAAGAAAATTTGAAGCTTGTTTTTTAAATATTTGTAAATTTCAGTTTTTTTATAGATAATATGTATTGTGAGACTACAATGTTTTTTTAGTTGGCTGTTTACATTTCTTTTTTCAAGCTAAATATTTTATATAATAATTTACAATTATTTTAATAATCAATTTTGTAACTATTTATAATCAATAGTCATTATGCATATTTTCAAATAAATAATTAAATATAAAAATACTTGAATATTTAAAAATTTGGAGATATTGGATAAATATCTTAGTGCAAAATTTAATTTTTTTTCTACCAAAATTTTAGAAGAGTAAAATTGTTTCATTATAAAAATAAACTATTTACAAATTTATCATTCTTTAGAGGATTAACATAGCTTTGATAATATAAAATTTATTATAAATATTATTATCGTATACATCTAGGAGAAATGATATGTGATCCTAAAATTAACTGCGTCGGTGTATCTACCCACTGCAGGTTGCTGAATATCTTGTGCGATGTATTAGATCAGTACCCGCCAGTGGAACAAAGAAGCCAACTTACATTCGATTTCTTACTGGCCTGAAAGCCTACTCCCAAATTTTTTCAGTTAAGAAGAATCAATCTCATTCCTCTTTTTGGTCTATGCATCCGTTTGTAAGGAAGATTTACATGCATATATCACTCAGTTCTTATGTATTTAAATATCTAACACATAAACCTCAATTTTTACAAATATGCCATTTTAGCTTTGCATGAAAAAGTATGTTTCACTTTTAAAAAGTTAAAATAGTGGTATTATTTTAAGTGATATGAAATATTAGGGTGGTATAAATGTAAAAATGTCCTTTTTTTAGCATGGGATTTGGGTTTGAGTGGTACGTATGTAAATGTCCCTTTTTTAACATTATTATCCACCTTGCATTACCATATACATGATTTAGGCGTTTTTTGTTCTTTTTTGTTCCCAGAGACTTCCCTTTGGTGATAGAAGAAACAGATACATCACATTTGTTTTAAGGAAGATTTACTTCCATATTTCTCAAATCTTATTTTTTTACATATCTAACACCTAAACTTCAAATTTTACATATATGCCACCTTAGCAATGCATGAGAAGGTATATTTCACTTTTTTGAAGTTAAATTAGTGGTATTTTTATCTAATATGAAAGGTTTGTGTGGTTTCAATATATAAGCAAAATTTATGTGTCAGACTATGTAAATATATAAGAATTGGGTGATTTTTTTATGTAAACATTAGTCTTCCACCCTGAAATACCAAATACATAATTTAGGCGCTTCTCTCTCTCTTTTTTTTTATTTTTATTTTTTATTTTTATGTTGTTCCCAGAGACTTGCGTTTGGTGCTAGAAGAAATAGACATCTCATTGAAGATTGAAGAGCTAAATGGCATTGTAAGTACTCAAATGTTTATGGAACCTATTTTAAAAAGATTATGGGATTGTGTTGTTTCCAGTTTTCTTTGATATGATATTATGTTATTTTAAAATAAGAAGTGATTGATTTGCATAATATCTCTTATTGAAGTAATTTATAACATTAATAAGCAAGGCTATGATTAAATGCCAATACAACAACAACAACAACAGTCTTAATCCCACTACGTGGGGTCGGCTACATGAATCATTTTTCTCCATTGCGTCCTATTTAGTGTCATATTTTCATTTTGTTCTAACAAATTAAGATCATTTTTTAAACAACAAGCCCAAGTTTTCCTAGGTCCACCTCTGCCTTTATCAACATAAGTCGAATTTAAAACATCTACTCAACTAATCGGATCATCAGATGATCGATGTTTAATGTGACCAAACCATCTAAGACGACTCTCTAATTTTGTCCATCACTGAAGCTAAGCTACACCAAATCATAGATATATTCATTTCGCATTTTGTCGCTAAGTGTAAAGCCACTCATCCACCTAAGATTAAATGCCAATGTGATTGATTTTTTTTTCCTAACTATTATTGCATTTTTCAACTAAGATGCTATAAAGCCAAATCTATTGTCTTCCAAATTACATTGAACTAAATAGATCTCAGAAAAAAACTGACTGCATAAGAAAGTTAATTTTATGCCCATTATTTTGTATTATTTGCTTTGCTATTGTAGCCATTTTTAGATTTGATAGGTCACATCAGGATACATCCATAACAAGACTGGTAATGGTGGCATTTACATACATTCAACAATATTTCTATATATTACAAATCTACCAGCTAAACTTTGATATTTATTTATCCACATGCTTAACATCACACCCAAAGTATCACAATTTCTTGCTTTTCTAATGTGAAATGCACCTTTTTATTCACCATCTTATCCTGTGATTGTGGCACTAAAATGTTAGATGAGTAAATGCCAAAATCTAGATGTTAGATATGTAAATACAGAAAGATTTAATGATATGTATGTAAATCCCTCTTAAAACTATTAGGAGCTATTTTTGGCGAGAATATTGTGAATTTAGACCTTATTTCATATAATTTTTTGAAAATTTTTATGATTTCTTCTGTCAAGGGTAGAGGCTTAGATAAGGATAAATTTCTTTTGAGGTAAAAATGTTATTTTGAAGATATCTTGTATAGACTTATTTTATAAGTTAGGAATTAATCTAAAATTAAAGAATTTGATATTTTATTAGACTGTATACAAAATAACAAAACTTTAGTGGAGATAAAAATGAGAAATCTGACTTAGGAAGAATATCATAATCGTGTTGAGATTAAGGTTGTGAAAATCGGACTAGCTGGTTCTTTAGAAATTGAACCGGTTCTTCGGTTCAACTTTGTTTCTAACCGGTTCAATCCCATTTCTATGTGGAAATGGTCCTGAAGTTAGACATAACCGGTTGAATGACCAGTTCATGGTTGAACCGGTCGAACCGGTTTCTATGTGGAAATGGATGGCCCTGAACTTAGACATAACCGGTTGAATGACCGGTTCATGGTTGAACCGGTCGAACCGGTTCATGGGGTTGAACCGGTCGAACCGGCATGGTTGAACCGGTCGAACCGGCAGTTCAGTCCGGTTTCTAAAACCATTAGTGAGATGCTTAATCTCTAATATTTAAATTAAAGTATTCTTAAGTTTAATGTCTTCAAAATTTTTGCAATCATATTGAACTGTTATATGCATATTTGTAGATCCTTTTTATATTAAGCATGTCATATTAGTTCTAATGATCTGTATGTTATATTCTTTTCTTATATGTTTGAATTTTATATTAAAACTATGGGGCATTTACATACATACCACCCAATTCCCATGTATTTACATATCTAACACCTAAACTTCAATATTTTTATTTATAACACCAAAACTTTCAAATCACGTCAAAAGTAAAGCCATTTTAACTTGTTAAAAAATGAAATACACCTTTTCAAGAATAGATAAGGTGGTATGCATGTAAAAGTTGAAGTTGGCTGTTTGATATGTAAATACATAGGGTATGAGTGGCATGTATGTAAATCTTCCTAAATTATTTATTCCACTTAGATTCTTTAAATATTATAATTGTTGTTTCAGGAGAAGATAAGGCGCATATTGTGCTGAGTCACATGACTAAATTTTGGCATTGTGTTCTTGATGATGTTATTTATGTACATTTTTCTTGGATAGTTGCACTTTGTCTGCCTCACAATTGTCAAAATCAAATTAGATTTATGGAAGATTTACGTACAGTGGTATAGATGTAAAAAAGAAATGTTCTGTGCTTCCAGAAATGTTTGAGCGGGGAGAGACCACAGAGTACACTGATTCTGCATTTATAGTCTGCTCTCCCTCTTCTTCCTCGGCAATGTTCTCTTAATTGGTAATATTTTGTTGTTATTAAGTTATTACTATGCATGATTGAATTTCATTATAACAAACCAAATATTGCAAGAAAAAGAAATTAGAAAATTTGGGGAATGAATCTTTGTTCTCGAGTATTTAGGCCCCGTTTTGGGCAGCTTATTTGGTGCGGTGCATTTTGAAAATGCACCCAGAGCCGTTTGGGTAAATTGCATTTTGATAGTTTTTTTTCAAAAAATTGTGTTTTCAAACAGTTGAAATTATCATTTTCACATCGTTTCTAGCGAGGTGCGGTGACAGTTTTTTAAATTCGGTCTGGCTTTTCCAAAAAAGAAAATGTAATAGTCATTGCAGTTTTTTGAACAACCGATTATTTTTCAATAGTTTATCAACAACTAATTAATAAGTTGCAGCTGTCCCAAACAGACCCTTAATCTCTTAGCTTGATCCCTTGTTTCACACTTTCAGTCACTCTCTACACCATCTAAATGAAAAACCAAGGTCCATAATAAGTCAATACTTGTACCAAAAGCTCCTTTTATATACAATTCGGCCAAATTATCGTCAATTTGTCAAAAATAATCCGTCGGTTGGGAGCATCGGGGGCATTGCTAAGTAGCATTGTCGCATTGATATTGGGCATGGAGGCATTGATATCGCGTCTGATCTTCGAATTAGGTATAAGGATGTAGAAGTGTCCGTTTCTAGCATTGTCTTCGGGTGTTAAGGTGCAACTCCACTAGTGGGGAAGTGCTAACAATCAAGCGCCGCAGGGCTATGTCCTGAGCATTAGGACGCCAGGCCTTAAGCTGAAAATATCCTCGCTATGCTACATTTTATACGTATACTACATTAGTCACAAATATATCACAAAAACAAACATAAAAATTGCACAAATGAAAGAAAAATATATCATCAAATACTATTTCATATTTATTAAATTTCCTCATACATACACATGGCTTATCCTCAAGTGATTTTATATCATGTTTATAGTATGCAGTAATTTGGTATCCATTATCTCTTTATTTTTTGTTCTTTAATAATATAAGAGGTATATATTTTAAAAGGGCACAAATATTATTAAAGAATTGAATTAATATTAATTAAAAATATTCTAACATTACTTATATTAATATTTTGTTAATATATTTGACCGTAAATAATTTGGATTAATGAGAATGTACGTATAAGCTTAGTTGCCTCATCAACCCGGAAAAAATTTGCGTACGTCAAGGGGTACACAGGGATGTGTACATAATAGGGTACATGGGGTTTATATGGGGATTACAAATGGTTTATAACCCGTTGTACCTCCCGTGTAACTCCCGTGTAACCCCACTGTAACCTTGTAATCTCAATGGATAAAATAAAAGTGTGGGTTACAGTTGAGTTACACGAAAGTTACAAGAAAATTATAACACGCTTGTAACCCCATGTAATCCTCATATAACGCCCGTGTACCCTATTATGTACGCATCTCTGCGTACCCCTTGAAGTACGCAAATTTTTTCCCATCAACCCAATAACCTTAATTTAAATATTTTCATTTTATATTCAATTATCTCATTTTCAATCAAAGAAGCTTTTGAAAAAATGATATCAATTTTTATTTTATTTTATTCTTAACTTTAGCTTCTTTTCATATGTTCATAAAGTTTAATTTTCAATTGTTTTAGTATTTACTTTTTTCTTAAGTATATTAAATTACTAATAAAAAGAATCAATTACTTCCCAATTGTTATTTCAAATATCATAATTCAAATAAGTTATTTGAATTGATATGTATTAAGTTCCTATACACTTATCTAATTAAACCATATTTATAGTCAATTTTGCTATATGTTTAAGAAATTTTATATTAAAAGAAGTATTAATTGAAGTAAGTGGTTAGTTATTACAAAATTAATATTGAATTCAATAGTTAATGATTATTTATGTCCTTTTTAATCAATTTACTTTTATATTATCCAATTACAATATATTTTTAAATCTTAAATTTAGATATAGAAAATTACTTATGCACAAGCTTACATCCCCCAAGCTTAAATTTTTGTTTGACATGTTAAAATGTTTGGTAAATAGGAACAAAAGAAACACCTAATATAACTGAATTAAAATACTCATATAATAGACATACAACAAGTCCGTCGGTCACATATATAAAGGAAGTCCATAACCGAAATAACACATACAAATCATAATAAAGCTAGGTTGCAATACACATATCAAACATGCAAAATTATCAAACTTAATACTAATGCTCCTCGTCACTCTCACTAACCACAATAACATCTCAATAACCTCCCAATATATTTCGAAGTTTGGCGCTCATCTTTTTTCCTGTTATTCAAAGATTTCGTGGGTTATTGAGGATATTAACCCCGATAACAGCGAAATTATCCTACAATACTTTCTAAATAACATTCATATAAACACAATTTTACGTGCATTTGACGTACTTAAATATGCTTCCTTTCAGAGGCTCCGTTTTAGACGTATGCGAAGATAAATATATAAATATATAAGAATTACGTGGCATCTACTTGAAATGCCCCCCAAAAAAAAAATTATGGGATAAACATGCGTGTTTTTCTCATTAATAAATTTAACTGTTTAATCATTCATCAAAAATGTATTCGCCGAGGGAGGATCAACTATCCAGAACAAATCACTAGCAACTTGCCACGTGGCATTCCGTGGCCCCACTCGACGCACTCCATGTGAGAGCCCGACCCAACTTGAAGCGGAAACACTGGGAGTCGCGCAGTTCCGGCCGCCGGCACGAATCCCCGATCCCTAAATCACAGATCTGATGTCTACTTTGTTAGGGTTCTAGGACCTCTGTGAAGCACCTGATCGATGGGGACTCTTCCGGGCTCCAGCTTCCTTAATTTGAGCTACGGGTTCCGTCTTCTGCCCGTTGGCGGAGGATTTAGGGAGCGGAGGAGGTGGAGGAAGCTCTGCGTGCAGTGTGAGAAGAGGTCGCTGGCAATTTACTGGAGTGTGCGGAGGATGAGGAGGAGGTTTGATAGACTTAGGTGTTTTTCGTTGAGCGATGGCGAGGGAGAGGAGGATAGAAGGCCGGGGTCGTCGAGTAGGTCTGATGAAGAAGTGGAGCACAGGAGTGGCGGCGGCGGCGGTGGTGATGATGATGCACGGCCTGAGCGGGCTCATGCATCTGTTTCTAATTCGAGGGTATGTTATATTTCTTTGTTTCTTTTTGACCCCATTGCTGTTTTTTTTTTTTTTTTTTTTTGGAAATTTCTTAATCATTTTGTGTGTTTTTGAATGAAAATGAAGTTGAAAAGTTCAAATCAGTGGTTGTAGATTCACAATGAAGCAACGAATGGTTTGAGTTTTATTTCAGTTTGTTTGCATTCCTTCAATCCGAAGGAAGACTTAGGGTTTTGTTGCGAATTGAATTGCTTGTTAGAAACTTTTTTGTTCTGCTTGAAATGGAAGCTTAAATGTTTGTCCAGAGCTAGTTACATGATTTCCTAAGTTAATAAAATTCATTATTGCAAAATAACTTGTTAAATTATGCCTTATGTTGTTGTGCAGATCCTTATATGATAATAGAAAAAACGAAGTATAAAGAATAGATAAAAGCTTGATACACAATATTGTTTAAATCATTTCATCATACAAAACGTTGCTTGAGCTCATCATATTAAAGCGTGGATAGACAAAACGTTGTTTAAATCATTTTGATTTTATTATATTTATTTTTTGTTTAAATTTTACCTTAAAATGAAACATGTTTTTATGTTATAGCATAGTTATTTGTTTTTAAAAATACTGAAAATAACCTTTTAGTATTTTTAAAAACTAGTTAAGTTGCCCTTGAAAATAAAGGATAAAAGCATACAAAAATTGCACTAAACAAATATGTTTTTAAAATAAAAGCAAAAAAATCAAACAAACAAAAACTTAAAAGAAAAAGTTATCCCAAACAAGTCCTTAGCCTCTCTTGGTCTGGTTCGTTGCTTTTAAGCCAAGTTGAACCTTAAGAAAGCCCCCGCCAAAAATAAGTGCCCCTATTCTAGTGGTTAAACAATCACTTCTTCCTCTATTACCCGCTGAATAATAACTAGTCCTCGCCATCTTTCCAACTACAATTTGAGACATTTTGCCTGATGAGCAGTTAGTCTTTGTTAATGTTGCTTCACAGAGGTCCTATGTTTTATTCCAGAACGGGTGTAAACGAGTCGAGTCGAGCTTGAGCTTGAAAGTCAAATAGGCCTCAAACTCTCTGGAACTAATATATGAGTTGGATATAAGTCAAATAGGCCTCAAACTCTCTTAATATAGGCTAAAGTACGGGTGTAAACGAGTCGAGTCGAGCTTGAGCTTGATTAATTTTATCGAATTTGAGTTTGAGCTTGCGCTTAAGTCCATGAGTTCGAGCCGGTTCACGAGCTGCTTGTTTAATATAAATGTGAAAAAAAAAATAATTTAAATTAGTTTCATAATAAAATGATATATAGAATGAGCAATTAGGAAAGAAATAATAAGAATTTACTTAAAATAAAATATAAAATATTATTTTTAAATTTTTTTAAATACTTTTAAAGATAAAATATTTAAATTTAATATATATTGAGTATATTTTATATTACTATTTTTTTAAACGGGCCGGTTTTCGAGCCAACGAGTCAAGTCGAGGCTAACTTGAGCTTTGACTTGTTAGCTCATCGAGTTCAGTTCATGAGCTGCTTATCGAGCCGAGCTCAAGTCGGCATGACTCACTTACACCCTTAGACTCTACAGAGGACTATTTCAGCCTCAATTTAAAGAGTCTGTGACTAATTTGACATTTTTATAGACTCTGGGACGTAAATGGCCTCCTTGCAAAGAGTCAGGGGACTATTTTGACACATTTCTCCGTTATTATTTCATGGACTTCTTTTTGGCTTGTACATCTCCTTGCCTTCTTGTGTCAAATCAACCTCATAATATAACACATGTAAGTTTTCTTGTTCATTTTTTCAGCCACCTATCTCTTTAGAAGGGACGGTTTACAACAGCTTTCAGGTTGATTCATTCAAATTGATGGAACTCCTTGGGCCTGAAAAGGTTGATCCCTCCGATGTGAAGCTGATTAAGGAAAATCTTTTTGGCTATTCCACATTTTGGGCGACCAGAGAGGAGGCTTTTGGCGATCTTAACGAAGGAATTCTTTTTCTCGGAAATTTGCGGGGAAAGAGGGAAGTTGTTTTTGCTAAACTTCAACATAAACTCCGAGAAGTCGTAGGCAACAAATATAATCTATTTATGGTGGAGGAACCTAATTCTGAAGGACCAGACCCTCAGGGTGGACCTCGAGTGAGTTTTGGGTTGCTGCGAAAAGAAGTTTCGGAGCCAGGACCAACCACTTTATGGCAATATGTTATTGCTCTTCTCCTATTTGTTCTGACTATTGGTTCTTGTTTAGAGCTTGGAATTGCATCTCAGGTATTATTATTATTTTTTGTTTCTTTTTAGATGATTTTTTCACATAACACTCAATTTCTATGTATTTACATATCTAACACCTAAACTTATTTAACATCTATATATATGTCACCTCATCTATACATGTAAGTGTGTATTTTAGCTTTTAAAAGTTAAAATAGTGGCATTCTTGAAGTGATATGAAAGATTTTTGTGGTATAAATGTAGAAAAAGTAAAATTTATAAGTCTTAAACTAGTTATGTAAAATGTATGTAAATGGCCCTTTTTTTGGGCATTTACATACAGCACACAATTCTCATGTATTTTCATTGCTCACACAAACTTTCATATTTATACAAGCAACACTCAGATCGTTAATATCACAACAAAAGTAGCACTATTAACACTTTAAAAGAAAATTACATCTTCTTATGCATAGGTTTGAAGTACTAAAGTGCTATAAATGTAAATATGAAAGTTTAGGTGTGAGATATGTAAATACATAAGAATTATGTGATATGTGCGTTTTTTTTGTGGGTTATATCCCAGTGTTGTTTGGTTATTATATATGAATTATTTAATATATTTTTAAATGATGAAATATATTTGCAGATTAGCAGTCTTCCTCCCGCGGTAGTGCAGTACTTCACTGATCCGAATGCTGTAGAACCACCTGAAATTCAACTTCTATACCCCTATATTGAAACTGCTTTACCTCTGGCGTACACCGTGTTATGTGTTCAGCTAATTCATGTAAAATTCTTCGCATCACAAGTTCGTTAAGCACTTTTTTATCATTGATTTCTTTGCTTGGATTGGTTTCAATTATTATATAGTTAGATTTCCTCATTGCTGTTCTACAAAATGTGATTGAAAGCATCTCAGTTTTCTTTTGTGCTGAAAAATGATGATGTTACTCCATTAAAATGATTATAAAATCTCATCTATCAGGCGTCAATCTTGATGCACTATAATTTGAGTGAAAGCATAGTTAATTGACTCCTTATTCAAAATTCAAGGAATATTTTCTCATAAACCGGATAACTGCATTTTGTAGAACATTGAAGTGGTAGCATAGTTAATTGACTCCTTATTCAAGGAATATAGCTATGCTTATGCACTATAATTTGAGTGGTAGCAACCTTGAAGTGGTTTCTGGGTTTTTTTTTTCTTTTGAATTGATGATTAATTTTTATATAAATAGTAATTTTCAATTCTGCCTTTTATTCTCTCACAACTTAGTTATTCTATTAGGTTGATGATGCATTATTTTTGCTACAGGAGATTGGTCATTTTGCAGTGGCATTTTCTAAGAAAGTGAGGTTGGGCATTCCTTTCCTCATTCCAAATATTACACTAGGTAGCTTTGGTGCAATCACCCATGTAAGCATCAATACAAAATTTACATAAATGCCACCTCGTCTATGCAGAGCATGGAATAGAAAATAGGAATATTTACATACATACCAATCAATCCCTCTGCATTTAAATATTTAACACCCAAATTTCAATTTTTACATAAATGCCGACTTATCTATGCATGAAAAGGTGTATTCACTTTTTAGAAGTTCAATGGTGATATTTTTTATGTGATTTGAAATATTTGGCCGGTATAAATTTAAAGAGTGAAGTTTAGATGTTAGATATGTAAATACATGGGAATTGGGTGGTATGTATGTCAATGCCCCTAGAAAATATTATTGTGGTGAATTGTATTTGCTCCATGCTTGTGATCAAGTTATATTCTCATGCTATGAAGAGCGTTAATGCAAAGGCTCAAGGCTCAACATGCCTTACTTACAACATGCTATAAGTCAAGAGAACTCGCATGTAATGTAGGGATAAAAAGAAAAAAAAAAGATTTTCATTTTTACGCATGTATGTAATTTGGTTTCAATTTCTGTGTAATGTTTAACAAACATGTTAATGACACAATTACAGCATAGTGAAGCAAGTCTTGAAGAGCAAATTTCTTCTTAAAGGATATCTATATCTATACATATGTATATATATATATATACATATATAT